ACAAAGAGCTGGACATGATACTCGGTGGCGACCCCACCTCCACTGCGAAGGCCACTGTGGATACTTCGGTGGCTTGCATGCCAGTTGAGAGTGGACTGAGCCAGGAGGAGAAAATCTTGGATGAGGATGTGGAGTGGGAGGGGGGACCCAGAAGCAGAGGACAACTCAGAGGTCAGAGATGCATGCAGCCAGGAGCTCTTTTCTACCCCAAAGGAGGCTAGCCAGTCACAGCTGCTGGAGCTTGGCGAAGCAGAAACAGGAGCGGAGGATCCTGGTAAGTGGCTTTGATTTTGGGAATCGCTGAAGCGAGTTGTTGGGGGCAGGAGGGTTGCAGAAAGCAGGCTTGTGTCTGTATGATGCTCATACCACCGCATGCCTAGTCTGAGCAGTGGATTGATAGGGTGTTGATTGACTCCCTCACTTCACAGGAATCTGCCTCAGAGATCTCCATGAAACTCTCATGGAGATAGGGGCAATCTGCTGACGCAGGTTCTTCGGCAGAGCTGCTTTGTTTCTTGCCCCACTAAGGATAACTTTTCTGTGCCACTCTGCTGTTGGTGGGGGGCGGGGAACCATTGCTGCACACAGGCGAGCCACATAAGGGCCAGGCGGAAGCTGCAGTTTTGGAGAAGACCCTCCCCTGATTCCCTGCTCACCCTCAGCAGCAAGGTATCTTCCATAATGAACACAGTCTGTGGAAAATGTGGGGACAGTAATGACAATAAGGCTCCCTCTACAGTGCTGGCTTTCCCCAAGAGCCATATGCCCAGTGTACAGCACGTTCCTGGAACACTGATTGCCCCTGTGGTTACTCTTCATTTTGGGGGTCTTGTGGCTCATGTGTGCTTGCCTAGAGTCAGCCAGTTAGTGATAGGTATGTGAATAGCGGCTGTGTTTTAAATCACTGAATCAGTGGTCTGTGTGTTGCAAACAATACTGCTTTGGTAAAATGTTGCATTTTGGCTTCACAGATAAACTCTTGGGAGCCCAGCCTCCCTCTTTATCACTGATTGAACGGCTGCGCAGAATTAGAGAGCAGCCACGAAGAACTAAAAAGCACTTCCTGCGTGATGTCATTATGCACTCTGTGGCCAAAAAACAGGAATTGAAGGAGTGTCAGGACAGCGAGGAGAGGGACTGAAAGGAGAACGCAGTGCACCAGAACGAAGCCACAGAGCAGCTCTTAAACGTTATGGAGCACCAAGCGGACATTCTCCAGGTGCTACTAGCACTGAAAACCGACCAGCTCTGCACCCTTCCACCTCTGTAGCCACTGTCACAAAAATCTTTCCCATGCGCCCCCCAGACACCACCAAACACTCTTATCAAACTCCTGGCTCCAATCTGTACCCACTGCATTCCACTCCTCCTCTGTCACAGTCTAGCACTGCTCACTCCCGGTATCCACTGCACTCAACACTCGTCCTTCTGCAGTTTAGCCCTGCTGAAGTACAGTACCCACTGCACTGTATTCGAAAGGAGAAGGTTGGATATGATACCTGGACATACACAAATCTTTAACCGTCCCAGGACTCCACAACCTCCTGGGACCCTACCTTCCCCCATCCCCCTTGGTGCTGATGTGTGTTTTTTCTTTGTTTCTCTTCTCCAGTTGTTGTTTTAAAATCAAATAATGGTTTTGATTTGAAAGCAATCTATATTCCATTAATAGAAAGCAAACAGAGCCCTGCAAAGCAACAGGCATTTTTCTTAAACCTCCATAGTGCATCATCTGCACTAGTCACAATCACCTCCTAGCATTACAAGCACTGCATTCCCGAGCATAGCAACAAATATTAGTAGCTTTCAGCTTCAAATTGCTGCCTCAAGACATCCCTGATCCTCATGGCCTCACGCTGCGCCCCTCTAATAGCCCTGATCTCTGATTGTTCAAATTCAGCCTCAGTGGTCCAGCCCTGAGTGAAGCTTTCACCCTTCCCTTCACAAATATTATGGAGTGTACAGATGCGTCTATAAGCATAGGAATATTGTCATTGGCCCGGCCCAGCCTCCCATATAAGCAGCGCCAGCGGGCCTTTAAACGGCCAAAAGCACACTCAACAGTCATTCTGCACTTGCTCAGCCTGTTGTTGAACCGCTCCTTGCTGTTGCTGTTAAGACGCCCTGAATATGGCTTCATAAGCCACGGCATTAAAGGGTAAGCAGGGTCTCCCAGGATCACAATGGGCATTTCAACTTTACCTACGGTGATCTTCTGGTCCAAGAAGAAAGTCCCTGCTTGCAGCTTCCTGAACAGGCCAGTGTTCTGAAAGATGCGTGCTTCATGCACCTTTCCAGACCAGCCTGCGTTAATGTCCGTGAAACACCCACAGTGATCTACAAGCATCTGGCAGACCATTAAGAAATAACCCTTCAGATGAATGTACTCGGTGGCTAGGTGGTCTGGTGGTAGAATTGGAATATGCATGCCATCTATCGCCCCTCCGCAGTTAGGGAAGCCCGTTTGTGCAAAGCCATCCACAATGTCACGCACGTTGCCCAGAGTCACGATCTTTCAGAGCAGGATGTGATTAATGGCCCTGCACACTTCCGTCAACACAAGTCCAACGGTCGACTTTCCCACTCCCGACTGGTTAGCGACCGACAGGTAGCAGTCTAGAGTAACAAGCTTCCACAGTGCAATTGCCACGTGCTTCTCCAATGGCAGGGCAGCTCTCATTCTTGTGTCCTTGCGCCTCAGGGCTGGGGCAAGCTCATCACGCAGTCCCATGAATGTGACTTTCCTCATCCAAAAGTTCTGCAGCCACTGCTCGTCATCCCAGACGTGCATGACAATGTGATCTCACCACTCAGTGCTTGTTTCCCGAGCCTGAAAGCTGCATTCCACTGTGGTCAGCGCCTCTGTGAATGCCACAAGCAATCTCGTGTCGTAGCTACTACGCATGGCGAGATCAATGTCGATCTGCTATTGCCTTTGTAGTTTAAGGAATAACTCCACTGCCACTCGTGATGTGTAAGTGAGAGCGAGCAGCATATTGGTCAACAGTGTGGGATCCATTCCTGCAGACCGAAGAGGCAGAGCGCGCAGTACACAAACCCTTGAAAGATGGTGCCCAATGCGGACGGAAGTACAGGGATTGCTGGGATGCGAAGCAATTCATCATGGGGCATCGGGACGGGACCCAGGATGCCCCGCAATCCCCCCCACCTTCCCACAACTTTTATCGGCGGAAGAGGAAGAGATATTCTCTGGGATAGTTGCCCAGAGTTCACCGCTCCGAATACCACTGCAAGTGCCACAGGTGTGAGCATGGTATTGCGCAGGCAGCTGACAGTGTGAACGCACAACAGCGGTTTCCCTTCAGCGCTTTCTGAGTGGTGCTGTAACTCTGCCAGTGTAGACATACCCTTAGTCACATTGAGTAGTATCTTACATCACGTCTGGTCCCACTGATTTCACTCACTACTCAACGCGAGGCTAGAACCTGGCCCTTAATGTTTGTGCAGTCCTTGGACATCCAGAGTGGAAACGCATGCAAATTATTATTATTTAATTAGCTTTGCATACACTTTCTAGCACAATCACAGTGCAACATGCTACTGAAACTCTACTTTGTGTATTAGCTTAACTGATAGACATTTTTGCAGTTAGAAATCTAGACATTAAAAGAAAATAGAACATATGGGTATTGCAAGTCATAGCTGCAAATTCAATAACATAAGGAATTTAGAAGAAGAAAACTGAAATACACAATGTAAAAGATTTTAAAAAATCTTTCTTTTTTCCATACATTAGACTCCCAATGGTTAGTTCTATTCCGTTTAAATGGTAACAGGCCTTTTTCTGTAGCATTACCTTTAGTAAAAGACTTACCTGTAGCATTGCCTGCTAAGGTTTTAATCCTGTTGTTGTAATCACTGCAAGCATTTATCTCTCCCTCGCAGACTCCCAGCTTGGAGTTCTTTTAAAGAGCAGAATTTGGCTGCTTTTTTAAACACATTCCTAGTTAAGAAATGCATAGCTGTAGAATCCATCAGCATTTGCAGTGAAGCTAATCTCCTTAACCCTTTGCCTAACCCACTGCAAACTTAAAAATGGCAAATTTATAGCTCTTCAAACTATTGGTTTATGCCTCTTAAAAACTAACTTTTAACCATGATACTTTCTGGAAAATACATGCTATTCATATCAACACATATTTTAAAAAATGAATCTGTATGCATGCTGACTATATTCCTGTTTATTCTTCGGAAGTGTTAGCACAAAAATTTCCTGCTAATTTCAAACCAGTCAGACAAATTGATTTATTTATTACAATTAATAAATTAAAATTTGAGATCTAAAAAAGTATTGGAAAAAATCCAATTGTAAAATTTTAGAAAATAATACATTTATAAGGATTTTTTAAATATGCATGATGCATAAGTAGAATATGGTGTCTATCAGTAAAACATCACACTCCGTTTGGCTTTTTATAAGGATGGATATCTGAAAATCACACAGAGCTTTAGTACATTATTAATGTGTAAATACAACATGAGATTTTTGCAGTAGATTGTGATATAATGAACCATCATTTACACTGGAAATAATGTCTGTGCTGCAAAATCTTGGTACCTGTTTAATGTTATCAAGATGATGATAATGTACAATAAAGCTTTAAAATCTTTAGCATCATCTACTCATTCATGAAATAAACAAAGTGACATAAATTCTTCCCTAAAGTAACTTCTTTGAAGTCAATAAAGTTACATGAGGGTTTAATTTAGCCTGATGCATTACTCCATTCTTTTCTGTGTGTGTGTGATATAAAGCTTTTGGGGGACTTAAAGTAACACCAGTCAGGTGACCCATGTATAGTCTATGGATTTGTAAATGAAGGAATGACTGTTGAAAGAATAAGACTCAGTATTAAAACTTTAACCAATCAAAATTTAGAGATTCGTAAGAAGGAAACAAAAAGAGATGTTACAGTGCTATTTACAAAGTCCAAAATGACTATTACATTATTTTCTGTTTTTATCTCTTCATATTTTAGTGACCTATCAGAGAGGAGGAGAAGCTGTAAGCAGTGGAGGCAGGTAATGACATGGTTTGTTTTGCAGACTATAAGTTGGATGTAAATACATTTAGATACATTGAGTACATTTATAGGTGCTGGTATAATGCAATACACTTTAGGCATATAGGTCACTGATTTTACAGATTTCACTGAGAAAATATATGGCTTTTGAAATGTAGCTTTTGGTTCATTTTCAAAATTGAAGCTTAACATTTTCAGTTGAGTTTCTTTGTTGATTTGTAGAAAAATACACCCAAAAACAAACAGCAGAGGGAGCACTTTGACTTCAAAATACAAGGTTTACTGATTTAGCAGATGATTAAGGGAGTTAAAGTAATTAAACTGAGGCATTTATGAAGATTAAGAAATATAGCTGGTTCACAGATACCACAAAAGAAAAAAACATTCATGGGGAAAAACTTGCTGAAGACAGCAGCACACAAGGTGATTGTATTTAATCTTGCAGTGAATTGCAAAATAGTTAAATCATCACTGTGAGAGAGAGAGAATTACATTAAAGAAATAAAGAGAAATGGGTAGCTTATTAATAAATAGTTCTTTGCTCTCAGAACCTAGTTCAGTTCCAGATTGAGGACACAACTGTAATGTGTTTGCACGTTTTAGTATATTGCCTAATTAATGTCAATGGAACACACAATAACCCTAATTGCCTGCTATGTTTCTTCAGAGGACAGAGCAGCAGTGATGGCATAGAGCATGTCATGCATGTGTCATGCACAGCTTGTTTTTAAATCACACTCAAGCATACCTTTTCTCAGCATTAGAGTCAAGGTATTGGCACAGTAAGGTAGTGAGCCTTTAAATCTCAACAAACATCTAGATAAATACATTCCTACCCCTTCCCCTCCCTTCTGCCCTGGGCACTGCCCTGTAGTCCTTACCTTGCAAGAATGTACCAAACTCTGATAGAGATAAAGATTAGACATATGAAGACATGAAGATTAACATTCAGTTTTCTAATATTTTTGAATTGACAAGCCTGTAAATATCTATAGGCCAGATTGTGTGCTGCACTTGCACAGAGGCAGAGGGGTCCTCTCTTTTCCCTTGCATGACTGTTCAACACAATAGCAGCCCTTCCCCTCCCTATGCTAATAAATGTTATTGCCTCTATAGAGCAAGGTAGCTAAAGAGCAGTGGGGAAGAGGCAAGGCAATGACTCTTCTCCCTTCTGTACTGGCCTGGCACATCAGAGACTATTCTGCAGAAGCGGCATTGCGGAACTGTGTTTCTGTATCATGTACAATCTCCCTGATGCTCCTGCTGGAGCAGTGTGGTTCTGTGCTGCCCCAGTTTTGTAGCTAAATGCCATAACCTAAAATCTCCCTCATAAAAACTTTCTCCTTTTAGGGCTAGAGTTGCATCATAGGTATTTTGAAAAATATATTTTCATCTCATCAGTTCAGATTTTACAAGTGATCGAGCCAGGAAATATTGCCCGTGCCATATGTTCATTTCTTTTGCTCACCTGAGCATATAGTATGTTGCACAATACTTCGGAGCACAGGAAACACATTTGATCAACTTTTGAAGCAGTGTAGTTTCTGGCATAAAATCTTTACTCTGAGTTCCAAACCTTCAAGCTCAGACTCGCACTTTCCCTGCATAAAATATATTTGTAAGGTTTTTGGGAGGCTCAGCATCCTCCCCCATTTTACATACTGTATAAAAGGTGCTGTCTTCTAACATTCAGAAATAAACGTAACTCAAAGTGAAGTATTTCAAAATAGCATCCACTTCTGTGGATCTGGTAATGCTGTGGATAATATTCACTGTCCTTGCACAAAGCTCAAGTAATTGTTTCTCTGCAAAGGTTGAGGAGTATGGAATTCATCCACCCAGCCAGTGGGCAAGCTGTGGGACTGACACATAAACTTTTCTTGGTCACTATTCCAGCCAGTGGGCTTGAGTAGCGGCTTCTATTACCATATACCTTGGTACACGGTATTTCTGAAACTTGGATTGACATTACAATCGCTCCACCCACTTTCCTCCCGGTTGGCATGAGTGAAGTGTAGACTTCCCCTCTGCAGTATTCAGAAAGTTCAGAGACAAAAGGAGAGACCTTTTTGGCTGTTCCAACCACATCTCCCATACAGAAACCCTTCTTAGGACTTGAAAGGTTCAGAGAGCCTTACCTCATCCTTGTGTACCCGGGGTGATTTTCAGTCTATATGCAGAGCACTAGGTAAGCCATGGACAGGAATGGACAAATCAGCTGCACTGCCCAAAAAACTAAATAACAGCACATTTATTTCATATTTACAAAGAAAATAAATCCATAAAAATATGTTTGCCTAGTACCTGTGGCTTGTCTGATAGTAAGTCGGCCGGCTCCAGCATTTCTGCCGCCCCAAGCCAAAAAAAAAAAAGACCACGATCGCAATCGTGACCGGCGGCGGCAATTGAGGGGAAAAAAAAAAGCCGCGATCGGCAGCGGCAGGTCCTTCGCTCCTAGAGGGAGTGAGGGACCTGCTGCCCCCGAATTGCCGCACATGCCGCCCCTCTCCCTTGGCCGCCCCAAGCACCTGCTTGTTCAGCTGGTGCCTGGTGCCGGCCCTGGTCATGCCTCATCAATTCATATGCTAAATTGTCAGATGGCGCATACAGCATAGAAATAAATATATATTTAGCAGATTAATATTGTAATGCTGTTTTAGGAATCAAACTTAAGCCCATGGCACTGACAGACTGGTTACCCCATAACCAACTGCTGGTGCAGTTTGCAGTCTCAGTTTCCAGTTTAAAGGGATTAACATATTTTAGTTGAAAAAGCATTATATCCAATATTTTCACAATAGATATCTATTTTTTCTGGACTCAGCGACTAACTTTTGTGCTGTTTACAATGGTAGCCCTTAAAATTTGCCCATTATGCCTGTGTTAAATAGATATGTTCCTTTTGTTTCTGAAGTCTTCCCCTCTAGTTCTGTATACCTACCTACTGCAGGAAATAATTCAAACACAGCAATGGCTGAGATTACCTAACTTCAAATACTTATTTAGTTATCAGAAGCAATTCTCAGGTTTTTAGGGGTCACTACTGTATGTGAAGCTTTGTAATATGCACAATGTTGTCAGTGGAAAAAACAGTATGTGGGCTGGAGATTCAACAAAACATTCATCAAAGTTTATTTAGTGCTCACTAGAAAACCTGCAATAACTTGGAAACCATGCAGCTGAATACAAATCTTTTAGCTGATGACATGATATATCATCCAATATTCAGCCAACATTCAGCAATGCAGACTTGTGATTTTCAAAGTTGCTGAGCATTCACGATTCCTATGGACTTCAGTAGGAGCTACTTGTGTTCCACAATTTTTGTGAAAAAAGTTTTGGTTTTTGAGAAATTTTTCAATCAGAACCCCCCTTATTTGTCATTGTTGTTTTCCCTCCTTCCTCTTCCTTTTTTTTTCTTCAACAACCCCTACTTGTTTTTGTCTCCCCCTCCCCCCCATTTTTTCCATGTTGCCACTGAAAATTGGGGGAAAATTGAAAAACACTACAGTTCAGTTTTCAGATTTTTGATGAAAAATCAGAAAATTTAATAAAATTCTAAATTTTCCACAGAAACATTCTTACTCTTTCTCAACAAGGCCTACTGTTTGTTAATACCCATATGATGATCAAAACATTGTGTTGGTTTCTTTGTACCGTAATTTACCAAAGAATATCAATATTTTATGGAGATGTCTGGGAGTCATTACATATACCAATTCTTCTTCTTCTTTTGTATGGCAAGACAAGTGATTAGCAATGTTCAAAGAACTAAGTCCAGATTAGCGGACATATACCAATTAAAATATATTTTATAAGAGATGTGATAAGTATGAATTGCCTAAACCTTTACTATTCATAGTACAAACTTTTTTATGTTAGACAGCCTTTTGAGAAGATCATAGGAATCAGTTTAATAACACTGTTGCTTAATTTATGAAATTACCATACTTTGTTTTTTTAAAGACCAGGACTTCTAAACATCAGTGAACCTGCCCCTCAACCATGGCTAGCAGATACGTGGCCCAACACTGGTAACAACCACAATGACTGCCCCATCAACTGCTGCACCTCAGCCAATGGAAACAGTGATAGCAACCTCACAACGTACAGTCGACCAGGTTAGATACTTTTACTAGTTAACAAGAGGCCTATTTTACACTGAATTCTTACAACCAGTCTCATTCATACTTCTACAGAGTTAGTTTTAGTCCCTTATCATGCATGTTGTAGCAGACTGTGTCCAGAATTTCATCAAACTGAGGATAGGCCATAACATTTTGTGTCTTGGTGTGACAGCTATAGTATTTGGCCCAGAGGTTGATACTGGGGACCTCTAGAGATAAAAGCATGAGGTGCTACACTTTGAGCTAAAGAGCCAAGACTCTGTAGCTAGAGGCAGTAACAACTTGTATTGGCATGGAGGAGGACCTGTTTTCACCAGTAGATTACAATACCACATATAATTTTAAACTTTGTGTTATGTGCCAGCATAGTTCGGAGCTCCTACTTCATTCTGTACTGCTGCAGCTGCTAAACTTGGGTTGGCTGATTCTCAAGATGGTTTTATTAGCCCAGTTCCTCTTGCTGTTACTGTCACGTTTGCCCACCAAGGTGTCTCTCCATTATGGTGCCCACAAAATCACTGCACCTTAAACACAAGCTAAATGGGTCTATTAATTGATACAAACCTGGTTTAGTCCATGGAAGACCTAAACTTACTGCAAAACTAGGTATGAATGAACTCATTCTAATCAAATAAGAAACAACCTGAATTGGCTCCCAAAATTCAAACTGAACTCAACATTTCTTGAGTTTGAAAAGTCCAAATAAATTTTATTTTTGATGCAGATCTGCACTTCCTAATACTGGCTAGGACCAAAATTAGAAATGCCAATATGTTACTGGAGAGGTTTTCATGCCTATTCCTGGGATGACCAGAAACAAGAAATGCCTTATCATATCAAAGTCTGCTCATATGAGATTTCCAGTCTAGTTTTGCACATTCAAACCTTTTGTTGTTCACTCATTGCTATGCAAACTCCTTCATTTGGGTGACTGGGTGTTATATTGTTTGTTTGTTTGTCTGTAAAGATTATATTATAGAGAACAACTAAATGTGTTGACTCTGGAAAGCAAAATATAAAATGTAGGGATAAATTGAGGCTCTTAGGGGCAAGGGCAGCACAAGGAGGGCAACAAAAGCATGTCAGTGACTGAACACTTTAGAGGGAGACATTATGGGTGAATAATGCTTCCTGCTCTCTGGTGGTGCACGCTGGGTGGCATACACCGTGAAGCAGCACTTGCTATACATTTTTTAAAAAAATTGAACTGAAATTCTCTTTACTCTGACCCAATTAGTGCTTGCCAGTGAGTCAGGAGTGGGAATCTTTGGCCACTTCCTTACCCAAGCAGACACATCCCTTCTTGGGCACGGAGCACTGCCAGTAAAACTGGTTGTCTTTCACTGTTTGCATTCCCCATCACTTTGCAGTCAGGTTATGACTGCCTGCAAAATGTGGAAGCATTGGAGAGACATGGTGTTCCCTCTAAGTCTAATGTAATTACTGCAAGGCCAGCCATAAACTGATGATGGTCATTCACTTAGTCCAGTGTCTTGTCTGACAGTGGCCAGTACCAGATGCTTCAAAGGAAGGTTTGAGATTTCTAATAAGAGACTTGTGGAATAATGTGCACATGGATTACATTATTACAAGTACCTAGATAGGAAGGGGATTTCTGATAATAAAGGGCTCTTTAATCTAGCAGGCAAAGTCATAACAAGGTCCATTGACTGGAAGATGAAGCCAGACTGGAAGGTGAAGCCAGACAAATTCAGACTAGAAATAAGGCACACATTTTTAATAGTGAGAATAATAATCACTGGAACAATTTACTGAGGAATGTGGTGGATTCTCTATCACTTTATCGTTAAATCACAGCTATCTCTCTAAATCTAAATCTTTCTAAAAATATATGCTCTAGCTCAACTGGAAGTTATGGGTTTGATGCAGGAATCATTTGGTAAAATTCTATGGCCTTTGTTACACAGGAGGTCAGAATTGATTATCATAATGATCCCTTCTGGGCTTAATATCTATGAATCTTCTTAACCCCTTCAGTTTGTAGTTGTCTTATGCCCTGAAGCACAAAGGCTTATATCCCTTATATATAAAAATGTAACTAATTACCCATGTACATTTCTAATATAATCTTATAAGTATAGTACTGAATAGGAACCCTACTTTATAGGGACAGCTTCTTTGTAAAAGAAGTGGGGAATATAAAATTCACATTTGATAAAATACATTTTCTGTTATATAGGTAAGCAGACATTGTTTGTTGTAGGTGATCATGAAAAAAAGTAAAGGGAAAGGCAAAAATGAAAAAAAATAAGTAACAAAAGTCAAGAAGTTGAAGAGTATGTAGAGCGATAAATAAATAACAGCTCACATGTGAAAGAAAAATAAATCAAAGGGTAAAATCTTTTTTAAAAAATTGAAGCTGAAGGGCATGAAGTTTGCAGTGAATAAGTTGTATGTAATGGCATGTACTGCTCACATCCCTTAACCATTACAATGGGGATGAATGATTTTATTTTTGTATTTTACTGCTTTTACACAGAATTTTTTTCCTGAAAGAAGTGTGAATGTTAGAGAATGTTTTGGAAATGTACATGTTCATTTCATAGAATGTAGAGGCTAAATCCTAAAATGCTTACTTAATTTTTACTCACTATTTTGGCTGGAGTTTGCCCTGACTAAGGACTTTGGGATTTGTCCCTAGGTTAACACACAGCAGTTACATTTTGTTAAAAGAGCAACTATCTTCTTGGTAATTATGTAATTACCATTACATATACAAATTGGTAAATGATAACACACATTTAATGGTCATTCTGTGCTGGTTTCCTAATAACCCCATATATACAAATCTGCTAACTCTGTTACTAGTACTCACCACCCTTCTGGTGGATTGGATATAGAAGGGAAACAAATGCTGTGAAAGTAAAGTCTGTGCTAGTCACAAGGAAGCACATGGGGCTCCTGAAGGACAAGTATGCTGACCCAGCGTTTAATACCAGGGCTGAGTTCTAGAATTGTGGTTAGAATGTCAGCACAAGCCTGATTACTGTGAGACTGTCACTGAGTGCTAACTTTGTGGCAAGGTAACTACTAGGAGGGTGAATTCACTCTTATTTATATTGAATAATGTGCCAGAGGCAATAGTATGTATGATTAATAAGACCCAAAGTAATTATGATTAGCATGTGGTGCAACCCTTCCAAGAATGCTTTCCTATCTTTTTCTTTGAAGCTCATACATGTTATTGTGCTAGAATGCAATGTTCTATTGAAGTCTTGTTAAACAGGTTCTGAGACCCCTTTCATAATGTACTGTATCTCTTCATTAATGATTTCTATCTCTGTATAAGCATCGTTTTAAAAAAAATGCAGAGAAGAATCCATAAAGACCTCTTTTCCTTTGTCTGAAGTCTGACAGGGTTTAAAATGTTGTGTGTTGAATGTGGACATGAGACAGTTATTTTGTATTTTTGCTCCAACTCGCAAGTGTTTTTTATTTACACACACAAATTGTCCTAAGTATGCTCAATTGTGTTTTTAATTATTAAGATGCCAAAATTGTTTTGAGAATAGTGCCCCAAAATTAAAATGTTCATATTGCCAACCTAAGAGCAGCAGAAAAGACATAAACATTATTGTAGGGACAAATTTAGCAGAACTGAATTTACAGGGGCGCCAAACAGAGGTGTTTACTTTGGATCTGGAGAATTGTATAATATGGAGAAATAGATGAGAAATAACAAAATTCTCTGAGCCCGTGTTTTTGTATAGTAACCTAAAAGGTAAATAAAGTCCAATGGGTTATTTATTTATAAGTTATATTATTACAACCCCATTTCTGCTTCACAGAAACAGGTCATATAGTTGTGCACAAAAATATTTGTAAAGCGTATTGCACATGAAGAGATAGCGAGTAACTGAACAGAATGACCTTTTCTTTTTCCTTCCCCCTGTGGTTAGCTGATTGTATAGCAAATTACAACAACCAGCTGGAAAGCAAGCAAACAAACCTGATGCTGCCTGAGTCAACTGTTTATGGTGATGTGGACTTGAGCAACAAAATCAATGAGATGAAAACCTTCAATAGTCCAAATCTAAAGGATGGAAGATTTGTCAACCAACCTGGGCAGCCCACTCCTTATGCAACCACTCAGCTCATCCAATCAAGCATCAGCAATAATGTTAACAGCAGCAGTGGGGATACAAATGAGAAACACTGGAAACCCTCTGTTCAGCAAAAACAAGAGGTTGCACCCATACAGTACAACATTATGGAGCAAAACAAATTAAACAAAGGTGAAGAGCTTTTAGCTTTTTTACTCTTGTTTATTCATCAGATGATCATCAGCCTTCTGGTGCTGGGAGTCCAAAGCTTGTCAGGACTAGTAAACGTAAACCTCTCTGGTGCTTCTTGCTTATTCCTTTGTAGATTTAGAAATTCCCAGTAAACAGTGTCAAAGAGTTAATTAGCACTCCAATAACCTTCGAAGATTGAATTTATTATAACAAATAACTAGCTGTAACTTTAAAGAGAATTAAATAAAATATATTTTCATATGGCTTTGTGATTAATTTAAATGTAATAGTAGGTGCTTAATTGGTTAGGACAGAGACAAGATCTTTTATTCATAAGACCAATGCATGGTAGTCACATTATACTCTACCTTAAATTTTAAATAGATCAACATCCCCTTATCAGTCATGAATAGAGGCAGGCTAATTAAATCTACATCTTCATGTAAACAAATGGAATTTTTGCACATCAAACTGTGTAAAATTATATTGTGTTGTACACTGGGGACAGAAATGGACCACTCCAATTAATTTTAGCTTTATACCTAGCAAGCTTCCAATTCATATTCAGAGGGAATGCTGTGGAAAAAAAAATCTGGATACTAAATTTCCTTTATTCTGACTGCAGTTTGTGGGTTCAGAAGCTAAAAATAAATTGATTTCAGTGTAAAACTTGAAACATCAGAATGTACTTTTGTGGCCTTAGGGGCACGTTACTCCAATGTGATGCATGTGACTTGGAAGAAATAGGTATGTGATTTCTTGCTAGTCTTCAGGCTACCATGCAACCTGCTTTAATAACCTGATTTGCAAAGCAGTGCCCCTAGGAACTGGATCCATTCTACCTGTGAACTTTTTGAACAGATCGTTGTAACTTGTATGATCACATAGTGATATTGAAAAGGTGTCCAGCAAAAAGACGTTTCATTACAGAAGGTTGGTTTCATCTATTTCCTACCTGACCTACTTACCCACAAAGTAGTTGAGAGAGCCATATAAAATGTGACACCGCCTTTTGACATAACCAAGTCAAAGGGAAAATTCTTTTTTTTTCTGGCTCCAAGCTGTAGTGTGAGGGGTTTATCTTTTTGTAATAATGCTTATGCACTCACTTTTCTGTGATGACCTTATGTATTCCATTTCAGTTTCAAAATTAAAATGTTTGGATTTTATGACCAAGAAGACATTGTCTCTTTCAGATGGTATATATTACAGCTGCATATTTTCTAGCATATTGTGCTATGAAAAGACCCCATTAAAGCATTGTCCGCTGACAGTCATATATACATATTTCAGTGTTGATTTATTGTTTATCCTCTGTGTAAACAGACATGGAATGCAGGGCTTCAACATGAAGTGTGGAATTCAGCTAGACTGAGAAGCTATTACAGAATACATTCTGGTGTGGGATTTATCATTTTGCTCCTTTTTTTTCTCCCCGTGCTTACATTATCAAAAGCATGTCTGCAGCAGATGGGGACTGGATTCTTAGCTACTTTGTATGGGGTTTTTTTATGAGTCAATAGTCTGATCTTGGATTTCTTATTTCCTAAGTCAAAACCATCTCGCTGACAATTTTACCTATAGCTTTTATAAAGAGAAATAACCATGTTGATGAGTTCCATGCTGTGCTTCATTGTCAGTACTTTATGTCCAATGGTTCTCTTTGTCTTTATTTTATTTGGACTATGAAAAGCAACTCATCTCCTTGCTAGTCTTCTGTAAATTATACACACTTCTTAAGCAAGAAAACATTATATTGTCTGATGAACATTTTATCCCTGAGAAATTTTTGTAGCTCTGATTGCCAAATCTAGCATTTGAAAATAAAATCCCTGTAATTAAATGTTCATCCAAAGCTTCAGAATTGGATAGGCCAGTTATTGTAGCTGTTAATAGTAAAAACTGTGTCAGCACTATCTGGCAGTCTTCCTGGATACTATAGAGACATTGGACCAAGTTCTCTGCTGGTGTAAACTGACTTCAGTGGAATTTGGCTCTTGTCGGGTTACACTCACTTCCATGCAGAAATATGGCATAAGCCTGTGTGCGCTTTGGGACTTGAGTATGCCATAGGTACTGTGCCTAGGGTTGAATTTCACCCTAAGTGTATGTCTACACTGCAATTGGACAACTGCAGCTGGCCCAGGCCAGTTGATTTGGGCTCACAGGGCTTGGGCTAAGGGACTGTAGCCTGAGCTCTGGCATCCTCCCTCCTCGCAGGGTCCTAGAGCCCAGGCTTGAGCACAAACATCGACACTGCAATTAAACAATCCCTTAGCACAAGCACCACAAGCCCAAGTCAGCTTGCAGAGGCCAACCACAACGTGTCCAGGTGCAGTGCAGCCATATCTGTAATGACCATGGACCTTTTCTTGGTGTAGCTACTGAGTTGCCCTAAAACTTTGGAAACCTGTGGGTAATAGAAATTAAAGGAAAAGATAGGAGCAAAACAAATATGGGGAGGGTTAAAAGATTTCTCCCCTGCCCATGCTTCCTCATCAACATGTTCAGTGGGTCTTTTTGTCTGTTATGAAGCAGAAATATACAGGAAATAGTTTATGTGAAGGGAATATTAACTGTATTATTAAATCTACAGATTACAGAGTAAATGACAATAATGCTCCAACTATTCCATACAACCAGTCATATGACCAGAATACAGGAGGGTCCTACAACAGTTCAGATCGGGGGAGTAGTACATCTGGTGAGTATATCCATACCAAGCTACAGTCTGCTAAAATAAAATATGGTTCTCTTATTGTTACCATATTTGATGGAACTGTATACGTAGTCAATATTAATTGCCTGATTTGCAAAACTGCTGAGCATCCAGATCTCCCATTGGAGGAAATACAACAGCAACTCTGTTGGGTCGGAATTAACTTCCATAATCTATGGTTGCCTCCTCTTTACTACTTAAAATAAAGTATCGGCTAGTTGATTAATGCCATCTAGAATTGTGAAAGCCGTATACTGCAGTATACTTTGGATTTCCTAACGTGGGTCCTCCACTGTTTGACATCTTGGCCTCCCAAGAGCCAATTCTGTACAAAAGTCCTTCTCAGAAATTTCAAAGAAAGCTGGATATAAACCCACATACTTCCCTTACTGGAAAGGCACCAGACTCCCTTCCCTACTTTATTATTGTATATTGCACTTACTGAAAACACCAGAACATTTGTTTTATGCATATCAAAACTAGTTTCAGTAAATTTTGCATGTGTAATTTTTAACTCTGATACCATACAATTTGGTTGAAAGAACTGAAAAAAAATCCTCTGTTTTTATTTACACCAACTCAGTGACTATTTATCAAAACTAATCTTACTGATAATTCAGATTTAGACAGTAGAGAATTAAAGAAGAATTTTGTTTCTCACAGAGCCTTTCATATGCAGAGTATCCAAGAGCCCTTTGCAAATGATTTCCTTGCAAAAAACCTTGTTCTTCCTTACCTTTTGCTTTCATCTGGGGTGGCCCAAATGCCTTTTTCCTAACCTGTGTTTGATCTTAATCTAACTATCCTAACCTAACACTACTCTGGCAATGTAAATGTGTTTTAGTGTAGATGGGACCCAGTATTTTCTGTCTTCGGGTGGTACTCTCAACTGTTTATTTGGGGTATAGTGATATATCCCCAAATAATAGCAAGCTTCTTAAACCTCCAGAATTCCCCAAAAGAACCTTCTGGCAGTGGGCAGCTTGCCCAATTCTATAGCAACAGGATCTGCTGAATCCCAGTTCTACAGCATTCAGACTTGAAACACAAAGCAATACCTCTCAGGGGATATGAACCCATGTGAATTAAGGGTGGGGGGCATATTATTTACCGTACTGACACTTAATATGTTTATTCATAACAATGACAAATTATAGCCCTACACCAAGGACTCCAGCAGGAATGAAACAACGTGACCAGAGCAATAAATTAATTGTGCTGAATCTAAATATATATATATATATTAGGAGGATAAGGAACAAAATGCAGATTATGGTCTCCTTGGGACAATTAGGGTCTTGCTTGACACAATACGGTACTGATGTACCAGTAAAACAATAGTGAACAGCTAAAACATACTGGTATGTAGCAGTCAATGTGGAGCAATAATGAGCTGAAATATTGTCCATAGGAACACAATCTAGGAGACAGTGGCACAATTACACAATAACTTCAACATCCTTAATTATGTGGATAGGGTAAACTATGCTAGATATTAAAAGAAAAACTTCTGCTTACCTAAGGAAGTTAATATGAAGAAGAATCATTTCAAAATTTCTATTATTCTTTTTTAAAAGAAACCAAACTAAAAACAGTTTTCAAAGAGTTAACAATAAAAATGACAAAGTATACAAATTAACACAGAGAAAATGTAGAGTTAGTTTTGATTACAGATAGTATTCTAGTCAAAATTCAGCACCTGAATAATGGGTGAGTAAAGCTGGATTGCTGGTAAAGCTGGATTGTTAAAGCTACATCATTCTACTCTAAGCCATAATTTCTCATTAACAGTGTCTGAAAACATTCACACCATACTTCATCAGGTTTTTTTTTTTAGTTATTTTAGTTCTTCCAGCAATTATTTTCAACTCCACCTGCCATTCAGACTAAAATTAGTAATTTCATTGTGCCTAAAACATTTCAGTGGACATATACAAATTGCATATATTCAGTGACTTAATGCAACAGTGGAACTTTAATAGATCATATCTGTATCCTATTGTATTTTAGGTTCCAGCAATTAAATAACAGAAAGGCACTTTAGAAAATATGTCTACAGCTCATTTGTTTTAGATCATAATCTATAATGTAATTAATAGCTGTGGGAAGATCATTCTTAATGCTACTGCTTGTAAAATTCATTTATGATTTTATTGCATTTTAGCTATTTATTAAGGTATGAAAACTGTGTGTTTTGTCCTTGTTGTATTAAAGTTTCTGGTTAAAATTAACTGCAGCAAAATGTGGAATAATTGGTTTTACGATGAAACTGCAATTATGAGGTTATGTATACAGAGAGGAACAGAACTTGCTCCCAGTCAAGTCAATGGTAAAATCCACATTGACTTCAATAGGAGCTGGAATGATTCCTGATTGCTACCCCCGCCCACCGCGGGGGAGATGGCAAAGTAATTAGGGGAAAGGAGATAATTAAAAGCATTTTTAAAAATATATTATTGTTTATTCTTAGGGAGTCAAGGACACAAGAAGGGTGCCCGCACCCCTAAGGTACCCAAACAGGCTGGCATGAACTGGGCAGATCTACTTCCACCTCCCCCAGCACACCCTCCTCCCCACAGCAATAGTGAAGATTACAGTCTTTCTGTGGATGAAAGGTAAGAAAAACGAACAAGTCATCCTTTTATCATTTTGCTGATGAGATATCTCAAATTAATTTAATTTAATTTGTGTTCTGCCAACGTGGTAATGAAGTTTTCCTTCAATCCACTTTGGATGTTCCTGAGCTACATACAGTATTATTAAAATACAAAAAAGGCTTTTGATGGGATTGTGCCTCTGTCAATGCATCTTTATCAATTGATGCTCTGTGTTGTTCGGATTTTAGCATGTTTTTTCTTTTTTTCCATGAGGGAATGAAGTGGCCACAAAGGTTTGCATTGTACTCAATGACGGGCCATATTTAGCAATATAATACACAACCTGTTGAATAAATTTGATTAGACCAGTTCAATATTTGTAGACAGCTAGAGATCTGTGATGAAATCCTGGCTCCTTATGAAGTCAATGGGAGTTTTGCCATTAAGATAATAGGGCCAGGATTTTATCCCTTGGATTTAACTAAACGTACTCAATATTTTTAAAAGAATGAAAATTAAATACAAATATTCCAGTGGTTAAGTTGTTGTTTTCTTGAAATGACATGGCCTCGTTCTTGACATTTTGCCTGTAATGAGAAGATCCAGAAAGCAAGTAGTTCCACAGTTTTAACAATTTGAAAATCTCTGACCATTTGAGCTAGAATAACGTATAGTAGATTCTGTGGACCAGATCTTCATGCTTATTAAATCTGCATTTAATACATCTGGTGGAATATATTTCATCTAATATTTTATTTAACAAATATTGAAGTCATTTGTTAAATAATTTATCCATTTAATTATGTTTAGTAGCATCCAACCAGTTCTATAACTTGACTACTGTTCGTCAAATAAATTGACACACAATAATATTCACTGAATAATATATTTACCAAATATTATTTTTCTGTTCTTTGATTGGCCCTAATACCCATATTAGTCACCTAGCAGCTACTATAGACACCTACAGGTCTCATGGGATAATTGGGAAATGAAAACCTGGCCAAACTGAAGTCAATGGCAAAGCCCTTTTGACTTCAGTGGGATCAGGATCTTTCCTCTAGCCCTTTATGAGAAGAGGACTTATAAGAAGTGTGATTTTTGCCTGGCTATGTATATGTATATAAGATATATTTTTATTGCATCAAACAAGTTTGATTTAAGCTACAGTCCTCATATTTAAAAAAAAACCTGTTTCTTAGTTATGACCAAGAAATTCCATGTCCAGTGCCGCCTGCAAGGATGTATCTACAGCAGGATGAGCTAGAGGAAGAAGAAGATGATGAGCGAGGTCCTACACCTCCAGTCCGAGGAGCAGCTTCCTCTCCCGCAGCTGTCTCCTACAGCCACCAGTCTACTGCCACTCTAACACCTTCACCCCAAGAAGAACTACAGCCCATGTTACAGGATTGTCAGGAGGAAATAAGCCACATGCAACACCAACCTGACCGGAGGTATGTTGCCGCAAACATGCAGAGGTGACAGATGAAATTCCACTCCCACTGAAGTCAATGACAAAACTCCCATTGAATTCAAGGGGCCAGGATTTCACCCAACATATTTACTCTGCTTATATTTAATTTACAAATTGGGAAGATTTGACTATGTATATTCTTAGAGCTAGGTAATTAAGTTGCTTTAATATTGTAACATGAAAGGAAATGCAATATATCATCTTATGTTACATACAGTGCTGACACAAGTTAAATGCACAGTCATCAGGATACTAAAGTGGTATCGTTAACACAATTTACCATATAATTACAGTTCCATTGTTTCCAATAGATTTACTGCATTATTACCATAAAATAGCTTGCATTATTTCACAGTAACTGTGCAATTAACTTGTCACCAATGTGTATGAATATATATAAATATATAATTTCTATAACCTATAGGTTTTCCTCCTTTCATAAATCTTACTGCAGTAAATTACTGCTTGTGAAATTTCCTTAATGTTCCCACTGTCCGTCATTTTTTAAAGAAAGATGAACATTAATAAGATCTATATTTGTTCCAGGGAAATTTTGCTTCCTTTCTCAGTTTACTGCACCCTTGCAGCTTCTGTTCTATTTAAAATAAAAAAAAAGAAAAGTGAATTCTGACTAACTGTGACACTTGATTAGCTTGCTGTTTTGTTGAGATAATAGAGCTTTTGTATCCAGGAACATATTCTTTGTAGATTTTCCCTCCCACACCCACCATTAGCTTATATATATTAAATTTATGATAAACCATTAGACTTTTAATATTCCAGTCATTTTTATTTAATTTTTGATTATTTTCAAGAATTTCTAGGCTTATTGTTCCAAAGATCAGTTTAGCACGTCTTAATTTTTCATATTTCTTATTCCTGGGCTTATTTCAAAGCAATATGTTTCTAAAGTGTCATCTTGCTGAATTAATTGCTTGAATTTGATTTTGTTAATGTAGCTTTTTATAGGTGTGTTTCCCAGAAAAAGAATGTCTAGTATCATTTTTTTTCTTTTTCTTTTTTTTTAGTTTGCCCCTTTTTATTGTAAGGCCAAGCCTGGTACTTTAAACCTTGCTTTTTGAAAATGGCTTCAAACCTGCCTTTAATTTTATCCCCCATGTTTCCTCAATGTTCCTGTTTCTTCCTCTCTACTCTAGTGTTCTGTAACTTTTAACCTCTGTCATGTTCTGCATCTTGTTGTCTTTCTTCCTTCCAGGGCCGGCTCTAGGCACCAGCAAAACAAGCTGGTGCTTGGGGCGGCACATTTTTAGGGGCGGCATTCTGGCGCCGGCCATGCCGCCCCTAAAAATGTGCCCCAGCAGCCCTAGCTCACCTCCGCTCCTGCTGCCACGGCGCGCGAAACAGCTGATTCGCGCGGCGCTACTTGCCCTCCCTCCCAGGCTCTCAAGGGAGGGGGAGACTCCGAGTGGCCGCGGCGCGGTGCCGCTTCTCCCCCTCCCTCCCTCCTAGGCTTGAGAGCCTGCGGGGAGGAGGCAGGGCTGGGGATTTGGGGAAGGGGCGGAGTTGAGGCGGGGCCGGGGGT